CACTAGATGTGATGTATGAAAACCAATCTACGACTATGAATAGAAAAACAGTGAGGACAGAGCAGTAGTCTACCTTCAAGAGAAACAGAAAATAAAGTAGGGAGGCTGTTACTCCACTGGCCTGTTTTTCTACATTACCTCCCAATCAGCACAAAACTTCAGATTAGATCAAAATTTCCAACTCTGAAAAGGCACTGGCATAGGAGGAGCAACTAAAAAAGTGAATAAATGGTAATGAAGTACAGCAGTGGCTTTAGCTGTCAATAAGTTTCTTTGCTTTGGTATTGGCAACATCAATACGATCTTTGCTGGTGTCAACCTTTTTTGTGATTGATTCTATTTGCCGATTTTGAGCTTCAATTTCATTGCCCATGTCCAACGCCATGTTCTTTAGATTTCCCAGGATATTGCCCACTTGAGTCAGGTTTTCCTCCATCTCTTCTTCTCTGGCATCGTTAGTTATCCGTTTAATGTATTTGCCGCTGGCTGCTCCGGTGGCTGGCTGCTGAGGCTGCCCATTTGTAACTCTGGCCGGTTGCTTGGATACCACATTGCTAGGTGAGTTGTCCTCGCCTTCTCCCCATGTTGCCTTATAGGCCTTGCTAGACTCAAAGTTCTTCGTCCTGTTACATGGACAGACACAAAGGCCACAGCACTTGTTGAGTTCTGTTAAAGTCTTCTCTGTCTCTCTCATATCTTTATTTATCTGATCCATGCCTTCTTCTATGCGGTTTAGTTGTTCCCCTTGTTCACCCAGCATGGTGATGGTCTGGATTCCTGCATCTTGAGACTGCACGGCTAAGTCAAGCATTTTCCTTGTACTTTCCAGAGACTCATCAGTAAGCTGGTTAGCCCTTAGCTGAATATCTTCAGGTGACATGTGATCCATGATGAATCAAAATTCTACCAGGCACAGCAGTGGCAATGTGGATATTCGAAAGGTTCCGGCCACTCCTGTCCGGCCGCTGCAGTTCCGAATTTCTAGCTTTGAAGAGAGTGATTTCCCAGGTTTGTGATGTTACTTTGCAAGCCTAAATCACACCTAAATGGTGAATAAGGGGAGTGGGTATTCTTTCTCTTGGCCTACTAAATTATAGACACTTAATAATATCTGAAAAATGGATTGATAACTCATTAAATGGTACTCAGGTTCAATTACAGATGAGCTTTTAAGCTAAAAATTCTTCTATGGACAGCTTTTTAACAACTTGGTTTCAACCTTGTCTAATGGGTAGATTTTTGCTCAGGCATAAAGATCAACAATGAACTTTGAATTTTGGAACACTTTTATATGAGTTCTGTTGGATGACTATATTTCATGATTTCTCTAACATTTGTGTCTAGTAATCTCTCAATTAAATTAGGTCATGAAAAACAGTTGTTAAAAAGTCTCAGAAAATCTGCTGGTTCTGAAATTACCTGACACCTATCATGAAGCAAAGGTTCTTAATTTTATTATCCTACTAACTGATTTAGACATAATCACTTTTGGACTGGCCCCAAAAGTGTCCCATCATAGTTTATTTTTTTTATTTTTTTATTTTTTGATGGAACTGGGGGGATTGAACTCAGGCCCTTGTGCTCACCAGAGAAGTACTTATTCCACTGAGCCATCTCCCAGCCCCTCCATCATAGTTTAAAAAGCCTATTATAGATAATCAATTTGTAAGTTGTCTAAGTACTCTTCAAAAGCATACAATCCCTTTTCCATTTAAGGAACCTGGGGCGTGCAGGGTGTACAGGGTCTCACAGTGTAGATCAGACACACAGTGATCTGCCTGTATAAGATACTGGACAAATATATCTTGATCTCTGCTATGTACGCAGTAGCTGCTGGCTATACATAAACTTAAATGCTAACTAAGAGAAAATCACCTGCGCTTTTGGCCAATACTAAACCAGGCTTCCTAGTAAATGCTTTTCTATTGTATTTCTGAGGATTGTACTTTGACGAAGTTGTTTGGCAGTGTTACAGTGTTACCCTGCGGGAGTAAACTCACATATGTTCATAGAACAGAAAACATAATGTGCCTGTGGGAAACAATACAGTGAAAGACTACAGAGGAATATTCTGTTTCTGTAGAGTTGGACAGTACAGAGTCTCCATGCCACCAGGGAAACACCTGTTTATGTCTGGCAGTGTCTCTTCTAGATCCTACTTCTTAAAGTCAGCTCTGTGATGCCATAGGCGCCAAGAGCACTTCTCATAACTCAGGTAAAACCTTAGACTTTGAAAAGTATTAGCTTTCCTTATCTTCCAGGTGAAATAATAGACTTGAAATTTAAACCTGCTTATGACACCCAAGTACCCATGCACTAGTGGTCCTTTTATGGCTTTCCATGATCAGGGGGCACAATGGTGGCATATCCTGTACCACTGATTCTCAAACCTCAACATGCACCAGAATTACTTGTGGGGTTAGGTTTCTGTTTCAATCGGTTTTGGGTAGAGCTTGAGATGTTACATTTCTGACAAGCTCCTAGATGATCTCACCTCGAGATATATGTTGTCCATTTTCTGCGTCCAGTTTTTAGACGGAACCACACACATGCTCTTAGAAGAGGGCAATGATGTAAGAAGTGAAAGAAAGATTTCAGAGCACCATCCTCTGATGGAAGAGAATAGAAAAGGTGTTGGGATGCTATGATCTCTAGGTACTAGTAATGTGGCTATAAGAGGCATAAGCAAGGAAGGTGAAGAAGAGTTGGGCATAATCTAAATCCTTAGATATAAACAAAGAAATAACAATTATTCTACCTTTAGATAGTTATACAGCTAGTTTCTCTTAGTTGATTAAAAGAAAGATTTATGCTAATATCTTTGGGGCAGTATCTCATGCCTATATCTTGTACTCTGAGTAACTACTATGAAGTTAACAGTATGTGATGTTTTAATTATTGTTACTCTCCTATTAGCCTGATTTTAGATTATAATATTTCTATGTCTTTGCTTCTCTTTAAAACAAAATTTAGGGCCAGCCTGATAGTTCAACAGACTAAAGCACCTGCTTAGGCAGAGCGCAGTGGCTGGGGTCGATTCCTGGTGTGCAGCGCTGGCTCTGCCCATAGGACATGCTGAAATGGTGATGGAGACTGGGTGTGGTGGCGTGCGCCTGTAATCCCAGCACTTGGGAGGCTGAAAACAGGAGAATCACTAAGAGTCCGATCTGTGTAGTAAGACCCTGTAGACCCTGTCCTAAATACAAAAAAAAAATTACAAAGGTAATTCTATTGAATTACAACAGCAATAACAGAAAACCCCAGCTTTCAGATAAGGAAGATGAGACTGAGAATAACGTTAACCTAAGAATTGATTGACAGGAGAGGTGCTGCAGGTACCAAACCATCACTGCCTAGAGGAAGAAACAGAAAGACTGAAATCAATTTGGAAAGAAGTTCTCCAAATTGAAAGAGGAAAGAGTATATTGAATAATATTTCTGTTTTGCACACCATCCATCTGTGATGTCCAAACTAAAATTGTCCCCATCCTGAAATGAGTCTAGGCCTTCAAAATGAACAGCAAGAGTTTTCTATTCAAAAGAGCTCTTACTTACTAATTACCCATAATGTTTCCATATTTTATTTTATTTTTTTTAATTTTTAAATTTTTTTATTCATTTTAATGAGAAAAAAAGATAAAATAGCAATGAACCAGTTTCAAA